CAAACCTCACTCCTGTCGGGACATTGGTTCTTTTTTGTGTCAGCTTGGGGCGACTAAACCTGTTCTCTGGGATGGCTATTTGCAAAATCAGCGGCCACATTGTGGATGTCAGGGGTGTACCTGACTTAACTAAGCCTCCCAGGACTGGGGGTGCAGAGCACCCCGATGCGAAGCATCTCCCATTCCCAATGGGAGGCTTATGAGTTATTGTGGCTTTCCTCCTTGGGAGCTTCCAAAAATGTGTGGCTTTTGGACACAAATTCCAAATCAAGTAACATTATGAGATGCACACTCATCATGAGACGACGAGGTGAAGGGCAGTTTGTAGCTGAGCATCTCATGTTCAATGTAGTATCACTTTCTCCCTACCTACACTTGGAGGAGGGTGCTGCCCTTGCCCAGAAGCTGAGGTGGATGGAAGATGGAATTCTGTATTGCAATTGAGTCTGCACAGAATTTTTGGGAATTCACACACATCACTCTGGTTGAACACACAAAAAAGGAAAACTTGAAAGGAGGAAGGGAGGAGTGCGTGAAGGAGGAAAAATAGGTGATTGACACCAAAAAAAAGAGAAAATTAAGGCCTTGAGTTTGATACCACAGGCGTCAAGAACTTGTGGGGAGAAAGCAACAGATAAGTGAGGGGAATTTTTCTCCCACCAAAAATGCAAAAGCTCCCAGGCTAAAAAACAGGTGTAACCTTCAAGTCCCTCCTTCGGAGGTCGCGCTTCGCGCGAGGGCGCTTTGCGCCAGCCCTGTACCAGGGCCCTCTGAAGCAAGGGACTTGTGTTAAGTCAGGGGTGTACATATGTAGGCCATGGAAATTGGAAATTGGACAGGTTAATGAAAACAATAAAACTTGTCAAATGATTGACTGAAAAGTTTATGTTTTGTTGTTGCCAAAAAAAAACCACTCCATACATTATCATCACATCTGTAAGCTGTCAGTGTTCCTTGACTGACATGGAAATTCTTGACTGATGATCTGCTCAAAAAACTGGGGGAGCAAGGAGGAATATCATCTGGTTCAAAATAACTTCCTGTGTTTAAGAGCAAGTACTTTTAAGATACTCTGCAGCCATTTTTACATTGTTTCTCACCAATCTGTTTCCTATAAAGTTTAGTTGGATCACACAAACTACATACAAATAAAATAAATGGAAGAAGGAGTAAAGTGTGGAATTAGGAATAAAGTCTCCTTGGGTTAGACTGTGGCTGATGTCCAAAGTCAACAATGTGGCTTCTTGCCTCAGCGGGCCTTTGCTATCATTGTAAGTAAGTTCAACAAGCCTAGCCAACCCCCAGAAGGCTATGATGAATAGATTGAGAAGGGCGCTTTGGAATGGATCTCCTGGTCCTAGCACCTCTGCAAGTTTGACCATGATCTCTACTGTGATGGCCTTCTTGCCAGGTTTCTTGGGTGCTTTGACATTGACATGTGTCAACAATTTGAGCATAATTGAGACTTTTTGTTTAGTCTGTTCTGGAAAAGTAGTGTTGTGGTAGATGTGCCACATCTGGATTCCAGCCAGATATTGGTTACGGCAGCCACATCATGCAAAGTTGGGGTGTTGGCAGTCCTCCCAGCCCAGTGGCAACAGTTGTAGATATTGGCTGGCTGGAGGGGAAGAGTGTAGGGAACCCTACCGGTCTCCCTAGCAAACACTTGGTATTTCTTTATGGTGGTGTTGTAGCTCAGTAGAGTACTCCAATGGTACCCTAATAAGTAATGACAGTCTTGGGCTGTGGGCTCTCTGGGGACAGAGCCGTTGTTGGTTATGCCTGGTACCTTGGAGAAGTCAATCATGACATAATTGTGCAGTTCTTGGTAGCAGTTGATGATTTAGGAGAAGCAGACATAGTGTGTCTGATAATTTCAAAGGAGGAGAAAATAGAGAAGGACACAGAGATTTTTAAGGAGAACTAAACAACTACGCTTCAGCAATAAGCCTGATACAATCTTAGTTCCAAGTCAAGGGGTACAACAACTAGGATCTGAACATGTCTCTCTCTGATCTGTCTCCTTGCAACAGTGCATTGGCTATGTTGTTCTGAGACATTACTCTCTTTGAAACAATATCTACTTCTTCTTTGACCAACATTTTCTGGATAACCTTCCATTCTTTGTCTACTTCTGGGTTCTTGGACTTCTGTTTCAATATTGCACTCTCTGTAGTTGTGTTGTACGTCCATACTATCAGTGTTTTCCCTGGTCTAATCTTTAGTTTTCTGAGCGCTAGTAAGCCTAATATGATGGCTAATGATTCCAACCATGCTATGTTGCGTCTCAGTTCTGGTCCGTGGCTTCCAGTATCTGGTGAGTTGAAATTGGGCCCAGTGTCAACCTTATGGTAACACTGATAACGTAGCTTGTTGATGCATCACCCATCCACCCAATTTTGGTTGGGTCATGGTTTTGCATCATCCTTGTCTCCTTGAAACAAAGGAGGGTGGTGAGCCATATAGATGTCAGCAGGTACCCGGTACCCGGAAACAAGTACCGGGTGTGGGTGGGGGTGTCAACATTTGCAGTAAAAAAAGGCAGGTGCCCGGGTACCCGCCTTACACCCGCCCTGGGAATGACTCCCCTGAAGAATTTAATTTATCATTGGTGGTCCAACACTCCCTTTTTTGGGTGTGTTGGGCTGCACAAAGGTGTCAGCAACCCATGTAGGACACCAGCTGGTGTCATACATGTGTTGCTGAACTAATCTGGTTGCTTTGTTGAGGCTGGAGGGTTCCCTCCGGCCTTTGAGATGGTGTACAGTCTTGATGACTGGAGGAATTTCTCCAGTCATAAAGACGGTGTACAGTCTTCATCAATGGAAATTGAATAAGGCAAATGAGGCCAAGCAAAAGGGTAAAGCTAAAGGCCGTAGATCAGAGAGAAGATAAAATTCAAATTGGTGATGGAATATTTTTTTTTTCTTTATTTCTTTATTTTTATTTTATTCTTACTCATATATCTAGTGAATATCAATCCTATATTTACCAAGTCATGCAGAAATTCAAGGGTGAGATTTCTGGGTATATTTGCCTGCAAAAATGTGCCAGGTACCCGCAGCTACCCGCAGGTACCCTGTGAAGGTACCCGGGTACCCGCCCTGGCGGCCCTAGCAGGTGCGGTTGCGGGTGTCAAAAATATTGGATTTTTGAGGCAGGTAGAGGTACCCGGGTATCGAGCGACATCTCTAGTGAGCCATTCCTCAAGGTATTGGTGTGTGTCTGTTGGTAGGGGAAGTTCTATGTTCCTGTATAACCAGGCGTTCATCCACCTGTACGAGCTGTTTAGGTAGCATCTGATTTGTGGAAGGAGGTAGGACACATGGTTGAGCCTCCCAGCCATGAATTCTACTTGTTTGAAGGAGAACACCGCATCAGGTGCCAAGAATTGTTTGATTTGTTGGATCCATTGAAACTTCTTGTTGTCTGGTAGTCAAACCATTTTCCACAGTGTGTTCCATACTAAACCAATGTATTTCTGTTCTTCACTGAATGGGGAGTATTTGGTTGAGTTTGGTTTAACTCCCAATTTCTCTGATTGCACAACAATCTGCTCCATTGTTACAGCAGTCTCGATGCTTTACAAACAGATTATTGTCTACCCAACGGAATACAGTGATCAGGTTGAATTTGTGTAGCATGAGGTCCTTCCATGCGTCTGCTGGTCTGCCAAATGAGCCGCATCCTGCCACACCTCCAAAGGCTATTCTAGTATCAATCAGAATACCCCAATTGAAATCGCGTACCATGAGGTAGGCCCATTGGGATTTAGCAGTCGGTATTTGCTGGTATGCTTTCTCCCAATCAAAGAGGGCCAGTAAGATTGGTTTTTCTTGGTTACGGAGGAATTTTGAGACACACTCAAAATTATCCCACATGGTAGCATAATCTAGCTTATCTACAAATGAGTTCACCAAGGGAGTTAGGGGGTTGTAATGCGGAGAGGATAGATCATTTATTGGTCTGACCAAGCTGTTGCTGTTCACTACTGCTCCTAGCGAGTTCAATTGGAAGAACTTGTATTTCTTCATAAGTTAATTGTGCTTGTATGGACCATACATGCAGCGGTGGGCCGCTACGCTTTTGGCCCAAAAAGCGTAGCGTAGCGGCGCTTTTTTTGCGCCAAAATTTTGTAGTGTTAGCGCATTTTTGCTACGCTATGCTGCGCTACAGCGCTTTTAGCGGTAAAAGCGGCTAAAAACCGCTAAAAAGCGCTGCAGCGCAGCGTAGTGGGCCCTTTTTTGCGGCCCACACACGTAGCGTTAGCGGTGTCGTGGTGAAATTCCACTATGCTACGCTTAACGCTAACGGGAATTCCGCTGTGTTACACTACACTAACCACTACGGTTAGTGTAGCGGCCCACCGTTGATACATGCGGCCGGCTTCTATTTCCTTCTCTATTGAAGATTCAATCTTCTCTTGGGCTAGTAGAGCTGATCTATGGTTTGGCGGTGTGAATTAGGGGATTGAAGGACCTAGGTTATGATTTGGAATTCCTTGATTGAAGCCAAATTGAAATCCATGGATCACGTCTTGATATTGCTCAGCTAGTCCTGCTGTCTCTAGTGCGTGTTTCCACTCTTCCACATCCATCTTGCACTTAATTTCTTCTGGCCAGGTTAAAGAATTGTTTCCTCCTTGTTCACCTTTTGGCTCCAACACACTGGTTGCCTCTACACAATAGGGCCTTGTTTCCTGTGGGCTGTCAAGCAAGTAATTCAGGGGGACCTGCAATGTCAGGTTATGAGGCTATTTTGGTGTGATTCATTACTCAATGAGATTGGATGGTAGTATCTCAAGGGTCACAAGTTGTATTCTGCTGGCTGAATTAATATAATTACA